TGTACGAAACCAAGTATTCCAGCGACCATGGTTTGAAGCCGGTTTCCATCTCCTACAGCATCGACCATCCGATTCCCTCTGCTCGCAAGCAAGCTAAAAATGCCGCTGTCCAAGCAAGCTTCAGGCTTTCACAACGTGATCTCTCTCGTCTCATGAGTGGCGCCTAATTTTCTGATGCAAGTTCTATAGCGGAGCTTGACGCTACCGTCGTCATCTGAATCTCACGCATCGTCGGCCTCAGTCACTCATGCAATCCAACTCGGCACCATTTATTCGGTTCGCGAAGAGAACGCCTCAAAGTCAACCACAAATCTGGATCTACAGGCAGCGTTCTCTTCGCTTCCTAGCATTTCGCCATCGCGGGATCTAATCTTGGAGCTGGAGTACGTCAAACGCATGCACCAAGAAGATAAGGACTTCTATACCCGCGAGGTTGGACACTTGCGTCGGCTCCTGCTCGACTGTGAGCAGGCTCTACGGGACCAGAAGGACGGTTATAGACAACAGAGCATGTTTCTTGAGAAGGTAGTCAGGGCTAAGGAGGCAGCGGTTGCAGAAAGAAACGATCTTCGGGAACATCGCAAGCGACTTTCGACGGAGCTGGATGCGAAACGGAGGGAGTTCTCTGATGCGATGGACGTTCTGGAGGCGACACAGACAGAGTTGGATGGGCGACTGAAGCAGCCTTCCGATGGTGGGGAGTCTCGAACTATTTCGGATTTGCAGGCCCCCATGGTGGAGGGGTATAGTGCTCTCCCTGGGAGGGCAGCTGCGCTTAGAGAGCAATTGGTGGAGAGTGAGGAAAGGTTCCAGGCAGCATGCTTTGCTTGGTCTCGGGAAAGTAAACATCAACGTAGACTCAGCAACACGTCGACACGAGAGGTCAACAATCAGCTGAAGCGACAAGAAGAAACAATGAGGCAACTCTTGACGGATAACGAGGGTTTGGCTGCACAGGTGGCCTCCATGAACGATCGATTGACGTACGCTACCAAGGAGCTCCACGAGAAAGAGAGGGAGCTACGGGCTTCAAGAATCCTCCCACTAATTCAAGCCCAGGCTTCATTCGACGATGCAATCGCAACCGTCCAGGCTCTCAACGCGAAGATCTCGGAAACTGCGGCGAGGATCGCTGCGGCTGTCCAACCATATCGATATCGGTCGACAAACACCACCAGCTCTGATGGGGTCCGGTGGCTTGGAGTTCCTCTCATCTCTGTGTTACCAACTCTGCTCCCTAATGTCGAAGTTCATGCACCTACCATCGTACATCCCCGGTCACATGTGATACACCAAGTATATTTTCGTGCAATGCTCGCTAATTGGTGTGCATATGGGGTATCTGCGTGGACTTTGGTAGAGGGTGGCGGCCAAAAGAACGGGGATCTTTTGTCGACCATCTACCGGAAGCTTAGGACTGTTGGCAAGTACCCTCGTTCTGCTTACTGTACCTGTTACCGAGGCTAACTGTATATCACTATAGAGGACCCGTTGGTAGTAGCGAGATGGAGAGCCCTGTCCCGAAGTCAACTCACGATCTCAAGAGCGAGTTGGATGGACAGTTTGACCTCGGCGCTGAACAGCGTTTTGGGAGCGCTTGGCTTAATCTACGGAGAACCAGAAGCCAGTCTTATTCCTCTTTTGGATCCATTTTTAACTGCCGTTCGCGATACTCGTCGAATACTCGGCGAACTTGTGGTTCAAATGGAATTGGATGTCGCCGTCGTGCAACCAGGTTCTCGTTTCAACGGACAGACAATGCGTGATCGAGTCCATCTCCCTTCTCAGGACATTGCATCACGTTCGAGTGCGACGGCGTGCAGCTCAGAGGAGAGCGATGATTTGGTAGTTGCGACCTTGAAGCTTGGTCTAACAAAGACTTCGGGCCAAGGACAAGAGTTTGTGATTTTACCAACTGTTCTGCGAAGGAATACCCTGCTTTCGGGTTATTTTCCCTTGCAGTCATGAACCGACAGTTGAACGACCCGCACATTGTTTCCCGCATGCTTAATATTCTGACCCATTTTATCACGTAATTAGTTGTAGCTGACAGTATTAGTCCACAAGAAGCAATTTTCTAAATCATATTGCATTCTACATCGTCCTCAGCCTCCTAGCTAAAGTATCCGCCTGAAGCATATCCTGAAACTTATTTTCCACAGCTCGCCTGGCGTCGAAGGCTCCGCGACCTCCTGCTAGCTCACGCAGCTGATAAATGCGAATTGTAATCTCCATGCTCAGGAGGTTACCCTCATGGACATCGGGTCCAGTGTTTCGTTGAACGAGATCGATGCAACCTTCTTTAAACCACTCTTTCTGACCGTACTCCCTTCCCAGCATGATCTTTGAGACTGGCTTGTTGTTGAGGAGAGGTGTGACGGAATCGATGGCGAAAGCGCGGATATCGTCCAGACCCCACATATCGCAGAGTTTGAGGATGGCCTCCCACTCGATGAGGCTGATCAGCTCATACCTCACCGGGATGTCCCTAAAGCAGCATCAGAATGTTGTCTGGATTAGGTGAAAAGTAAGATAAGATTCACTTACAGCGGATGTACCAATTTCATCAGTGCACGAAAATCGCTCTCTGTCACATCATGTTTTTCCGCCAAGTTGATTGGTGTATCTTCTGATGATTCATCGAGGTCTATATTCAGCCGCTTTGCACGAGCGAGGTGATATTTGGGTACTAAGAATATCGTATCTTCCACCTATCAGCGGCAAGAGCCCTGATATGTTAGCCAGATTCAACTGACGCGTCTCAGGGGTACTCACTTTAATGAATACTGGCTCAAGGAAGTAGACATCATCCCTGGCAGAGATGTACTTGGAAAAGCTCGCTTGGGTGGTTGCAAAACCACTGTCCGGCATTTGGTGAATGGCTGTGGTAAGAGACAGGAGGGCCGGAGGCAAGGCCAGTCGTGATGTAGCCTTGCGATCGTCTACTACTTAAATCAGTATAACATTCTCAGCGCTTATTTCCATGCTGCCTTTGAATTCAAAAAGCTTGCTATTCAACACACGTACTTTCTATCAAAGGGATACTTGCATCTCATTCTACAGTAGAAGCCTCGCCAATGGTCGAGTAGTCTTGTAGGGTAACGGAAATCTTTATTCCTAAAATGGTCCGCCAGGCAACCGCGACTTTGTCGGCTTCCACCATCACTGCTCCCTTCTTCCACCCATCGTCCTGCGGCATTGTGGCTATTCATTCTCCCTTGAGACTGGTCATCACACAATGTCCCCTGCGAGTGATCCTGAACAGGTGACCATCCCGAAACAAGCTTGGGAATCGATCTTGGAGCAATTATCCAATGTCACCAAGAAGAACGAAGAACTCTCCGGGAAAGTCGCAGAGATGAAGGCGACGATCGACAGAATCACCGACAAAGAAGCTAATAAAGACTTGCTCAAGTGTCAGCCACGACATGCTACTGGAAATCATGCTCCAGCAAAACAAGGTTCTCCCAGTGGCAGCGGGACAGTGCCAGGTCATCAACTTGCGGCGACCAAGCATGAAGACTTGAAGGCTCCTTCACGCTCGAGCATCAAACCGGAGGTAATACTCTTAGAATGTGCTGCGCACAGTCTTACTCACCCAATGGTTAATAGAGCAAACACGGTATTTCAGCTCGGCTCGGCTCACCAAGTGGAATACGAGCCTCGGATCGAATTCGCAAACCCCCAAGGCGGATTCCAGAGATCTTGACAGAGGCTCCGAAGAATGGCATAAAGAAACGGGAACGTGAAACTCTTTCGCCTTGCGCATCCAGGGAAGATGAAGCACCAGAGCAGCCGGCAAAGAAAAAGCTAAATACTGGAGTTGCGATGCTTTCTTTGCAGGGGTCGCCAAAGTCTAAACTCGAAGTCAAACCTAGAGGAGAGGTGCGCAATTTGCAGTCTTTGAGAACTTACCCATAAATAAAAAGGCTTCCAGGTACCTCCTGATAAGATTGAAGAAGGCGCATTGAACCTGAAGAAAGAAACTGTCCACCAATATCTAGAAGGCGTGCCTTCACATGTGATACAGTCCCCTTCCGAGCTTTGTCTCTCGCGGCACATGCTGAACAAGTCCTATCGGTGTATCACTCAGGGCCTGCTGTGGGAGAAGGGACCGCACAAATTTCTGTTCCCTACATACAACGTCAACCCTTTAATGCCAACTGCACCCGGAGAGCCAGGTCTGATGCTTTCGGCTCGGACTGAAACGACTCGAGATACCTGGACGTTGTTCATCAAGTTGATCAACCATTCAAAAGCTAGATGGAATTACGCCGGTGAATATCGAGGAGAGACGGTCGGGGCGTTGACTCCAGAAGAGTTTGCTGAGCAACCGATAGAGGTACGTGCACACTCTAGCATACTCCCATTTTCTGACCGATCCTCAGGTCAAGCGGACTTGGGGTGAGAAGATAGCATACAGCAAGGGTATCAAGCCATATGTTGCCATGCGTGCTCGAATTACATTGCGGAAGCTTGGAAAGGAATTGAACGACGAAGAACTCAGATTGGCAGTTGAAGATATCTCAAAAACCCCAAAGGCATCCAGCAAGATATCGATCTACGACGCTATTCAAGCATTTGAGTCTGGTGAGGAGGTGAGCTTCTGGCGGCTGTTTATTATCAGAAATGCAAGAAATGTTGACATTTTCACAAAGTCAATTCCCATTGTCCGCATGACCTGTGTAGGCTACAGGACCGACTTTGCCAATGAGCTAGCCCACAAACTGAGGGTCTTTGAGCGAGGGTCGGCCGATGACAGTACTACTGGAAAAAGGAAGAGAACTTCTAATTGACAAGTACTTTAGCGACCGGACCGGCGAATCCATGAGGGTTGTAAACAGGACCTTGTCACCGATTTGAATAAGTTGGTGGGCTGAGAACGGAACCTCCACGCAACTGTAAAATACATTTTGGTGCCTTACATTGAACATTCTCTGGGAGAGTTGATTTTTCAGCCAACCGGCGGGTGTAGATGTGCCGCCTTGCTATCCCTCACAGGGCGCATGGTGTAGTTGGTTATCACGCCCGCTTAGCATTAAGCTGATTGCGGGCGGTGCTGGGTTCAATTCCCAGTGTGTCCAACGTTTTGCCATTCGCGCTGGCGAGTCGATGTCATGGTCGCGCCATGACGCCCCCATGACGACATTTTGGCTCCTGACCACTACTACCTTCTCTGTTACCATCGCTCGACCGATACCACGGGAACCAGCAGATACCCGGACTGCAAGCACGCTATACTACCAGCGCAAAGAACGATTGATAGCTGACAGGCGCTGTGAACGCGTTGCCCACGTTGTTCACGTCGAGTTGTCCTCCATATGACAGTAGCTTCCTCAAATTAAAGACAGGCCAACGACGCGAGGCACCTAGGCTATAACAAAGTGGAAAAGCTCACAACGGGGCAACAACCGTGAAAATGACCATCGAAGACAAAATTCGCAGCGTCCTGGGCTACAGGACGCTCCCGACGACGACGTTACTCGTGCTGATTTATGCCATCGCATTGACCGCCGTGTTTTCCACAAGCGGCCTTGGAAGTGTTCCGCACGCTAGCAGCAAGAAACTGAGGGGGTTCGATTTGAGGAAAGCTAGAAGGGACCTTGAACATGTACGTTGCTCGGCTGTGCATCCTCGTTCTTCTAATGGTCCATCCCATGTTAGATTGCTGGACGCCCTCATCCTTACAACTCTCATGCGAACGACGATGTGCGAAAGTATATCTTGAATCGCTTGGACGACATAGCTTGGGGACGAGACCACATCCACCTCGATGACGATTTGCGGAGTAACGGATCTTGGGCATCCACCAATTATGGCGTGTATTTCGAAGGGACCAACCTATTGCTGAAGATCGACGGGACGGACACGGACTTGATGCAGGGCGACAGCAATGGAGTCTTGTTCTCGGCACACTACGACTCGGTCTCTACTGCGCCAGGGGCTACGGATGATGGAATGGGGGTCACGACGCTCCTCCAATTGGCAGAGTACTTTGCTCAGAACCGACCGAAGAGGACTGCCATTTTCAACATCAATAACGGAGAGGAGGATTGGCTGAATGGAGCTCACGCGTGAGTTGGCCTTGCTGTTGACCTTGTGGTACCAATTTTGCTTACGCTGCTCGACGTACAATCAGGTTTATGCAGCATTCATGGTCCAACTTGACATCCACGTTTTTAAACTTGGAGGGCGCGGCTGCGGGCGGACAACCTATTCTCTTTCGTGCAACATCATTACTTCCTCTCAAGGCATATGACGACGTTCCCCATCAGCTTCGTGTTCGCCACCCTCATGCGAATGTTCTTTCGTCGGACGCCTTCGCACGAGGCGTCATAAAGTCTGGAACGGACTACTCGGTGTACACCGGTAATGACAGGCATGGCCCTGGTAGGTAATCTCAACTCTCATTTCACGGATTAGCGTGTTGAACGTGTGAACAGCTGCTGCAAGCGGTCTCATCATGGAAGGGCTTGACGTCGCATTCTACAAGGGAAGGAGTCGTTACCACACGAAATGGGATGGCCCTGCGTACACCGAAGGCGGGGACAAAAGTCTTTGGTCAATGATAGATGTCGCTAGAGGCGTTGGGGTAGGACTTCTTAACCCTAAAGGGTCGACCACCAACGCTGACAGTAAGCCCGGGGTGTACCTGGACCGTGAGTCGCATTCCCCGTCATATCCGTACGACCACTAATAACAATCAACAGTGTTCAGATCAACCTTGGTCTACTTTTCGTTGAAGAGTGTACTTGTGTTCAACATCATCATCCTAATCGTCGGACCTATAGTTCTGGCGTTGCTGTGGGCTGTCAGTGCTGTTATTCATCAGCGGTCAACTCCTCCGCCACCGCCGCCAAAACCCCGTGTACCTCATTCTTCGTTCAGCCCAAGTGCAAGTGCAAGTCATCATAACGCCTCTGGACGACCACCAGCGCGTGCATTCGGATCCAGCGACGCTGTCCCCCCTGCCTCCCCAACCCTTCTTTCTCGCATTCAAAGTCTGTCTGCAAAGAACATCTTGCTCAGCATCTGGAAGCAGGCAAGCTTCTGGATAGCATTGATCGTTACGGTCCTGCTTCAAGGCTTGCTCGTTTGGGGCTACGTTGCCCTCAACCCCTTTGTGAGTCGCCAGACGGACCTTTTCGTTCACGTGTGATGACAGGCGTTGTTTAGACAATTCACTCGCGTCCATATCTCGTCCTTCTCTCATTCTTCTCCCTCGCCTACCTCTCGGTTACCCTGATCCTCAGGGCAGCCTTTCCCCCAGCTATCGTCAAGCACACCACGGAAGTGCGCGAAAAGGAGAAGACCACGATATTGCTTCACCTTCATCTGCTCACATGGGTGGCATTGCTCCTGGGAACCATAGTCATCGGCAAGGCCCAAATCGGCGGGGTGTATACTCTTACTGTGTGGTACATCGGTGTATGGGGAGCGAGTGTAGCCGGGACCCTACAAGCCGTTCTGACCACCACCAAGACCGACAAGGGGAAGAAGCGGGCCCGTCGTTCGAGTTCTGCGTCGTCCTCTGACAGCAGCAGCAGCAGCAGTGACTCCGAAGATGAGCCCACACCTACGGTACCGAACAGCGAAAGATCCCCGCTGCTTGGTAATCGTGGTAACGGCTCAACCAACAACAGGAGCAAGGCAAAAGACGGGGATGAGGGTGGTGCCATCGGGTGGTGGATCGTCCAAATCCTCCTTACAGTACCGGGAGTGGTTCTTCTTGTTGGCCAGATCGGCGTCCTGCTTCTTGACGCTATGAGCCAGACACTTAGTGATGGTAGCAGTGCATGGACAGGTGAGGCCTGTTACGTTTTTCATCTTCCTCAGAATGTTGTTCTCACTGTAGATCACTTTAGTATACGCATCAACATCTGCCATCGCAGTTCTTTTGGCCCTCCCCCTTGCACCATTCAGCCCCAAACTTCACCGCGGCCTCACCATTGTTGCTTTGATTACATTCATCGCTGCTACCGCATTCTTGTTCCTTGTATTCCCGTTCACCAGTGCCGATCCCCTCAAAGTCTTCTTCCAACAACGGATCACACTAGACCACGGCGACGTATTCGTGACAGGCCTTGGTTCTGGACGCATTCCCGGAGATGTCGCGCTTTCCGCGTCGAACTCGGACCCCAAGATCGTGACTCAAATCACAGGGACAGCGGCGTATCTCAAGCAGGTTATCTCGTACCTTCCGTCTTCCAGGGAGGAAAACCTCGAGTGCACTCCGAACAAGCTCAGGCCCGGGCTCTTGACCTGCGAATGGGAGAGCAAACCCCTGTCACCCTACTCTGGAGGCCGTGATCCTTGGTATGCCCTGAACGAGAACACCACGAGCACAGATGTAGGCAGCAACGCCTCCTGGCTCAAAGCCGACCTCACTCGTACAGGATGGACATCAGCCAGAATCGTCCTCCAGGGCCGGAACACCAGGAACTGTCGCATCTACTTTGACCCTCCCAAAAAGTCTGGTGTCAAGGTGGTTAGATATGTGGTTGAAGGTGGATCCAAAGGCATGCAATCCGGATACCCTGTCGACCAGACCAATGGGCTGAAGGAGATCAGGCTGTGGAGCCGAACCTGGGACAGGGTGTGGGAGGTCGATGTCGACTGGGAAACGCCGTTGGAAACCGGGGATGAGGAGGGGCAGTTATCGGGGAGTATTGCGTGTGAGTGGGCGGAATATCAGAGTGGGATGGTAGATAATGGGTCTTTGGCGTCGGACAAGCAGGCAAGGATACCCGCTCTTGAGGAAGCGTTGTCGTTCTTGCCAGAATGGGCTGTGGTGACGAAAGCTGCTGATGGGTTGGTGGAAGCCTCTGTGCCATTCACCCTCTGAACGGATTGTGTTTATATGAGACTTGGGGACCCTTTTCTCTTTGCTGACGTTTCCACTGTTTTAGTTATTGCTGTGCCTCTGCTTTTTGTTTGTACTCTATTATGACTATCTGTAAATGAATGAATTTCCGGTTGACGCAAAATGAAAACATGTATCATAAGTATTAAAGTACACGGTAAAGGGATAGGTAACCTTGAAGCAGAAGCTGGTATCAGGTAAAAACTATACCAGTTGGACACATCCGGAATTGAACCGGAGACCACTCGCATATTACAATTAATGCAAAGCGAGCGTGATAACCAACTACACCATGTGCCCGTGAAGGTCGAACGTTCCTGTCGTCGAACGGCCGTCAACGCTTCTGGATGATACTTTGCGGTATCAAAGGCTTCTGCTCTCTTGTTATAACGGATACTTTGATAGAATGTCGATGGACGCAGTGTTGGTGGACCCTCCTAAACAAATGCTTGGCGTCGGGACCGACGCGTCGGCAATCGGCGACCTTGTCAATCATCGGGCGCATGGTGTAGTTGGTTATCACGCCCGCTTAGCATTAAGCTGATTGCGGGCGGTGCTGGGTTCAATTCCCAGTGTGTCCATCTTTTTTCCTCCAGAACATCAAAGGAAACGTTTAAATGAAATGCGCAGCTAGCCACTCGTAACTGCTATATCAAAGTTTGAAGCAAGGCACCTGTTTTTTTTAAACAATAATCATAACATTGTTTTACAAATGGTGGTATTCTCAATCGTCATTTAACTGGGGAAGATACGGCCAGGCTTCCTGGTCCAGAGGAGGGTTCCATCTACGATGTACATCTCCCCAAGCACCGCGACACAGGTCCCACACCGAATAAGCCGAAAACATCTTGTAACCTCCAGAACGACTAACGTATACCGGCCGTACCTGAGCTCTCCAAAATATGGTCTTCGTCGTCAGAAAGCAATCCTTACTAGGATGCTCGCAAGCAGGAGAGTGGTGAAAATCCACCTCTACATCCCGTTCTTCCCCTTCTAGATTGTCACTATCCACGTGGTATCTATTCTCCTCAGGCAAATGCAGGGGTATACAGTCCTCCTGGTACTGCGGGTCCTTCACAGGGAGTATGAAAAAGACTCCGCGGTCGATAATGGTGCTGCGCGAAACCAAGCTGACCATCTCCAATGTCGGACGATGGACAACAAAGTTCGTGACGTCCAAGTGCTGGTCGTCGAACAGCCCGTATTGTTTGGCGGTCCCATCCCGCACTTTACCCCCATATGGACTGATCCACGAGCGAGGTCGAAACGAGAACGGATTGACTTCCTTCTCCTGCCCCTTCATCCAAGGCCAGTCCCAATTGTCGTCAATCTCTACTTCCCCGACCTGCTCCCTCTCCCTGATCTTCTGCTCCCTCTTCTGCTCCAAATCCGCGAGTGTTTCAAAGTCCTCTATAGAACAAGGCGAATAATCCTCCATCATATGGAAGTTCAACCCAAGGTACTTGAGTGACGTGAATTCAGACAGGGCAGGGGCATATACCGATGGTGGTTGAGGCCACCGTACGCCAAAACTGCTTTTATCCTCTCCCGCGTGTAGATCGATAGACAGGGCCTTGAGATCAGGCAGCCTCCGCGCGATCCATCGAAATAAGCTCGCATCCCGCACTGCATCCCGCCCCAAGCCACTGATTACAAGCACTTCAAGTGTCTTGCGCGCCCCTAGTTCGATACCTCTCACCAAAGCAATCCAAATATCAAGCGTAGCCGGCTCGCGGGTGAGGATTCTGAGGTGGGTCAGCTTGAGGGCCCCAACTGGGTTGGCTGCTGGGGGTTGGGCGGCGGTTAACACGAGGTACTGGCCTAAATGCATCAACGCTTGTGAGGTGAGGCAGTTCAGAGCCAGGTGCTCGACTGAATGGAAGAACTTGAACCGGAGGAGAACCGATAGAGGGGGGAGTTCCAAGGCGTCGTGCTGTAAATTCGACATGTCGTAAAACCCTCCAGCAAATAGATTTCGAACGTGAGGGAATATGCAGAGGATGTACCAAGTGCTCCATGTATGGGTGTCACTGATTTCTCTGGCCGAGAACATGCGAAGGTTGAGATTGGATGCGCGAGAAGAAGTTAGGGAGTGTGTTCCCTGCTCCAGAATGGCAACAACATCGTCCGGTATTGGGCAGTCGTTTAATTGAAGCCTTTCAAGGTGAACCAGGTCACAGATTGCTTCAAGGCTCGACATTGTGAGCGTTTGTGAGTGGATTGAGAGCGCCGTGAGGTTTGAGCATGCCCCAAGAACTCGAGTGAACTTGCTTCCAATCGAAGATAGCGTGCTTTGTACTTCTGAAATAAACTCCGAAGGCCACTCTAGCCGGAGTGCTGTGTCGACAACAGTGGATGAGAAACTGAGACTTTGAGCGGCTGATGAGAGATCGGGGCGCTCCAGAATTAGGTTTGCGTAGTTGATGAATTCTTTGTGTAATGACCCGATAAGAGTCCGAAGGCGCGTCCTGCCATGTTCTTCGTTGGTTGAGTAGTGCTCGTAATCCATATAGACCTTGTCGGGCAAATGCACAGCAAATTTGCGGGTCTAGAACGAGTGAGTCGTCGAAGAGGATGTCAATTTGGATTGTGGCGTACATTATTGATATATCTTTGGGAAATCGAGTGGAAATTGCGACAGGCCAAGGATAAGCGCCTGGCGTCGCTCAAGTCGCAATGAGAGAATATGCAGTCGAGCAGCTCGGAAGGAAGATCTGTCAGGCATAGTTCCTGGATCTTTCCTACCCCTTTTGCTTGCACAAACTCTGCCATGTTTTCGCCTAGTTGCTTGAATTTAGCAGCAAGTTCGCTTTTGAGGTTGGTAAAATACGTACGTATCCCCTCTAAAACATATTCTAAAGAAAAAACTGGGATCTTCCACTTTTCCCTGAACTCGTAGACTTTCTTGGTTTTGATGGCATCGTCGTGGTTGGAAATTTCGGCGTTGACTGGATTTAACGCTGAAAAATCGAGCGTGAGCTCATGGAGTTGTTGAATATACTCGCTCCAGCGCTGCAAATGTTTTCATGCGGGACTCTGCATTGATTTATAGACACCGTACCGGAGCATGGCGACCGCTCAAGTCAAGATTGCCCTTAAGACGTATTCCTTTGATTTAGCATGACTGACTCTATTTCAGGTTGAAAACTCACCGTTACAAACCCATTGAGCGTGCGCAAAAGCCTGGTAAGTTGCCAATGCCTGATGAATGTCAGATAGTTAAGCTCGGTCTTCCACCTCTCACGCCGATCACATCCGTCTGGATGCTCTTTGTCCCAGTTGTAAGTGAACCTGGCGTGGTCCGATCTAGCAATATCTTCTTCGTTTCCATACAGCAATAGGAATGGACCACTAGATATACCCCAGACTTTCGGCTCCGTTCCATCCAGCTGAAGAAACCTCTCCCGGTCGTATTCGTCCAAAGAATTGACGTCCAGTGTTGGATCGCCTAATCGCCGTGCATCGCCTGGAGCATCTGGGTCCATAGGGCTGCCTGTTTGTCAGTCGAGCTGAAACTTATCAGATTGGTGGGATTAAAAGAAAGCCCGAGGCCTGAACGCGTGAACGTAGACTCGTAATTTGAACGGCAACTTGGATTGTTCTGTTGTGATGTCTTTATTAGCGGCCACGTGGCTCTCTCGACTATGCGAAGCATCAGAGAGGCAATATAAAACTGATATCAGGTGTGCCAAAACGACTGCCTTTGTGAGCAAATGACTCAATGGGAGGGGGCTTTAATACAAGCCAGATACTTGTATTGCCTGGCTTGAATGTTGGACTCTTGAAAAAGTCAACGAGTCACCATGCTGGCAACATTTGACGCATCATGGTCCTCCAGCGGAGACAACCTCTAGACAAGTGTCAGCGAAAACAATTTTCCAGTCGATTGCAACAGTGCTCACTGTATTGTTAGCATCATGAATAGAATCCTTGATCCTGACAAAATTGAAGTCTCTACTCTATATGGGTCTTGCTCTGGCCTTCCACCGTAACCTAGTGCGGGTTGTTGTCTCTTGTCTCGTTTACTGCTCCTTTAGCCAGCTTCTCTCAAGCCGTCCTTGTTGTCGTCGACGTCGAAGAAGGCTATCGAAGGGGGTTCAGTATCGTGATCATTGTTCTCCAAATGAAGACAAAGCGGACGGTCGTGGGCGCTGTTGGGTCGGGGCAGTCATTGTTTGGTGTGGCGGTGGTTCAAGTTGGAAATTTGTAATCGACGCGTCGCGTTCGAACCAAAGTACTGGTTCCCCTCCTACTCCCACCTGCTCCAGCTCTTTCCCTCATTTCTGGCCCTTGTCGTGCCACTGTTATGCCATTTATTTTCCAATATCTGCTTTGTTGATAAAGCCCTCCATTTCTCGCCTTTTCCCCTACTTTCCCCTGCAAAACTATGTCTGGGATGAAGAATTCGCCGTTTGGCAAACGACTACGAGCATCGCACGTCGAAGAGGACGATGGCTCGCCCAAGAAGAACCGCAAGAGGGCAAATCCAACGTTTGGTGTCGGTCCTGCGGACCCATCGAGCTCAACGCCATCGTTAGACTCTAGGGTGGCGACCGGCAGCGACAGCACATTTGGATCATCGCACACACCCAGGCGTCAGGATTATGGCGACAGATTTGTGCCCTCAAGAGATGCAGGAGACATGCGGACATCGTACCATCTTTTGGAAGAGGGTGGCCCATCCACGCCATCCAAAACTAGGATAATACCGACCGAGTCCGACGCTCTCAAGGGTAAGTGGCCACAATGTTGATTTTACTGCAATACTGAGTCATTTCTGTAGAGCAAGCGAATACGATGTTTACATCGATATTGCAGACAGAAGTGACCCCACCTTCTCCTAGGCGGCAAATGTCCCCAATCCGCTCAGCCCTTCCACCCTCAACGCCTACCCGTCGCCGTTTATTCACCTACAGCACCGCCGGCTCAAATCCAGCCACACCGAGCAGACGAATGGACGACCCTGTTGATGAGGCCTACGCCATGAGCCCAGTGCGGGCGGAGAGCCGCCGACTACTGGAAAGTCCCAGAAGACAGCTCCGCAGTGTATGTAAGACGCCATATCGGGTTCTCGACGCCCCGGAACTTGCAGACGACTTCTATCTCAACCTCGTCGACTGGTCGAGCACCAACGTGCTGGGAGTGGGGTTGGGGTCATGCGTGTACCTATGGCAGGCACAAAACGCGAATGTCAACAAGTTATGCGACCTCAGTGACCAACACGACTCAATAAGCTCGCTTTCATGGGTCCAAAAGGGCAGTACACTCGCCGTCGGCACGCTATCAGGCCAATTAAAGATCTACGATGCCAACACTCTCACCGTCACACGAACTTACCAGCAAGCGCATACACAGCGGATAGGTGCATTGGCCTGGAACTCACATATCCTGTCATCGGGATCGAGGGACCGGACAGTGCACCATCGCGACGTACGGGAACCTGGAGAACGACCGTTCAAGCGGTGCACAGGCCACCGGCAGGAGGTCTGTGGGTTGAAATGGAGCGGCGATGGGAGCGCGTCTTCGGCAAACCTGGCAAGCGGGGGAAACGACAACAAAGTCTGTATATGGGATCTCCGGGGGTCTAAAAGGGCTCCTCGGCCTGGTGCATCGAGCAGTGCGGGATTGGCGGTAGGAGAGGAACCAGGGGACACGCCGGTTTGGAAATTCCATGAACATACCGCTGCCGTCAAGGCTTTAGCCTGGGACCCCCACGTAACAGGCGTTCTAGCTACAGGAGGCGGTACGCAAGACAAGCACATTCGGTTTTGGAACGTTATCAACGGGACAATGACTTCCCAACTTGACACTGGCAGCCAGGTATGTTCAAAGTCTATGGAATGATTCAACGTCGGAACATTAATGAATACTGTTACCTAGGTCTGCAATCTTGTTTGGTCGACAACATCACATGAACTTGTGTCAACGCATGGATTCTCATCGACGACGGCGCAAAACCAAATTTGCATCTGGAAGTACCCTGCTCTGAGTATGGTGGCGTCGCTTACAGGACACACCAATCGTGTGCTATACCTTGCGATGAGCCCGGACGGGGAAACAATCGTGACGGGTGCAGGAGATGAAACTCTGCGGTTTTGGAACGCTTTCCCTAAGCGAGAGAGGCATCCTCGGGAGCGAGAAAGCAAGCTCGATTATGCCCATCAAATTCGCTAATCATCTCTCCCATCTGCGGGATCCGCATTCCCCAACACCGACAGCGAAGCAAACCTTCGCGCATACATAGACCCCGCCTACTCAGCCATTCACCCGAACGTTACCACCCAAACCAATTTTGCTTTGATATTATTTATCTCAATTGCATGAAATCATCTCTGGAACAATAAAGTCAATCAACGACACGCACGCACGCACACGAAAACGACATCATTCCTCTGCCCGTCACACATCAATGCATCCACTGTCCCCTCGAACGAAGCGTTTGGCACCCATTCTACACTAGCCAGGCCTATCCACCCAATTGTCGACCAACCGCAATGACGAGTACTACCCATATATGCTGCGATCACGTCGGCGCTTTCGCCATCTTTCATGATCTCTACTATGATTCTGATTCTGCTTGCACTATTCCCCGGACAAGACAGACGTCGCTGCTTATCTATCCCCACCTCTACGCCCTGCAACGACCTCAACATAACCTATACCAGTTTATGCGGTCTACGAACTGCATGCAAGCAGGCAATTCCCTCTGTTTGGCTCCATCTACGGCTTTGCCAAGACCACCAACTACCCCTATCCCATCTTACGCCCAATACGCCCAATACGCCCACCCCGCCTTGACCCACATTCTACACGCCTACGCAAGTATCCATGTATTTCAGCCTCGTTTTATCGATATGTACCCACTTTTCGCACTTACACTTTCCCGTTTATGCGGTTGTGCATCCTTCTCGTTCATGGATTTTTTCCCCTCTTCTCTTTCTAGCTTTGTTTCCTTGTGCCATGTCTGTCTCCTTCCGTTTCATCCTCTCTCGCCATTCCTCCTTGTCTACTCTTCTGTTTCCCTTTGTTCATCTCTCTCTCTCTCGGTTTGTAGCATGCACATAGTTTCATTTTCGATTTGCAATTCCACTTTATTTTTGTCTAGCGTATCCGACGACCTTTTTTGCTGTGTATACATACTGGGTTTCTATCTTCTTTGCCCTTTCCTTTGTTATTTTACGCCTGTTCCCTATGCCTCCCCCTCTCTCCGCACCACACCTCTTCATCGTCGACCGACATCCACCCGACCTTGCTGCCCTCCCCACCGAGAAGCTAAAGGGTAACGAACTGGATGAATCAAAGTACGCATCGCGGCATTGCATGTTGATATACCCTCGACATCGACATCGACATACTCAAGGGTTTTCGTTTCCTTCTTTCTTCCTCCTTTTTCCTCATTTTCGAACTTGTCATTCCAACGATTTCTCTTAGCCTTGTTCCACGCCAGTTAGAATCCACTTGCCCTACCACTATTGGTTTTATCTCACAAACTCATGATTCCACAATCTCATTTCTCGTTCTGTCCTAGCCTAGCGTCTCCCTTGTACACGATATAATGAAAATGAACTGATGGTTCTGATTCAGAATGAACCTTTAAGGCCACGATAGGTAAACGATAACGCTGGCTTCGCGGACTGTAAGGCAAACTTCAAGTCAGTGTGTGGCGGTATTTAAGCCATTCGAACGAACTGGAAAAAGAATGGACACACTGGGAATTGAACCCAGCACCGCCCGCAATCAGCGTAATGCTAAGCGGGCGTGATAACCAACTACACCATGCGCCCTATGACTTTAGTGTCAGGTGCCAACCTCAGGCCTGGTCCAGGGTCCCGTTTAAAAATGGGGTGTGCGGCTGGTTTTATGGCACTGTCCCCTCGTCCTCTTCCCGCCATTCTCTGACTAGCCGGTGGCAAAAAGAGAAAAAAAAGCTCTGGACACACTGGGAATTGAACCCAGCACCGCCCGCAATCAGCTTAATGCTAAGCGGGCGTGATAACCAACTACACCATGCGCCCTTATGAGATTTGACCCGACGTGGTGGATCTGGGCCGGGTGCGACGCCAGGGAAAAGGCGGCTGCCCCTTGTCTACTCCCTCGTTTCTGAAATATCAATATCAGCATGCTTTTTAGGATTTCCGCCTCAGGACATTGATGTTGAAGTCCTATTGCACAGTCACGGCTGGCTCGCGCCCCAGTGCCAAATGAGATCCTGCGCAGGTTCAGGGCCCATCCCGAATCAATGGCTCCAGGCTACTTTGAAAGAGGATGAACATGATACAAGCCCTGAATATTCAATCTTCGGAAGTAGTGGAGAGGAAAAAGATGAGCTCCAATGCTGAGAATATAGAAGTGACGTTTCTATCTCCCTTCTTCGCCAGGGCCAGGTTTTCAGGATCGTCCAGGACTCCCTTTTGGCCTTACAGCATTGGAGAAAATAGAGCTGAGGATGGAAAGATAAAAATGTTTGGATATACTCGATATGGGTTAAGGTGCAGTACCAGCTCGGTCCATCATGGACTTGCTGACAACGGTCTGGAGCTACTGATATTATGTCACGGTCTCCTCTACCTCTTCCCGCAAGTCTTGCCCCTAGTGGTGAAAAAGAAAAAGAATCTGGACACACTGGGAATTGAACCCAGCACCGCCCGCAATCAGCGTAATGCTAAGCGGGCGTGATAACCAACTACACCATGCGCCCTGTGTTTTGTTGAGCCGGGAGGGCGGACGCGGCTGCGTCGGCGGCAAGCATGGTTTTAAATCGAACCCTCACCCAGCCCTCACCGAAGTTTTGCCCTTGGATATACGACGCCTTCTGCCTTGATATGACGCCTTAGGAGTGTTACTTATGGACAAACACCAGAAGCCAGGTAATAAGCACTCGGAAGCACCTTCAAGATTGGCCTTTCCGCACACTTTCTGGGTCTCCATGCACGGCGTTAGAGTTATCTAGCCTCGACGCGAATATGTTCCTCTATCGGACATTGCCTCTATTTATGCACAGAGTTGCGCTGTAACCAACAAGGCTCAAGCACCATGGGGTTCAGAGATATTCAAGACGTATTGATATCATTCGGTTTATACTACGCCACAAAGATTGAAATACAAAAATACATAAAAGAGTATTGGACACATCCGGAATTGAACCGGAGACCACTCGCAGACGGTATGCAAAGCGAGAGTGATAACCAACTACACCATGTGCCCGATATTCGAACATTGCTGATGCGCCTCCCCGCGCGCAAGCGCCTACCGATTAATTACCAGACACGGAAGTAAGTAGGTGTTTACACTTGAAAATTCTCCCCCTAATAATTGAGGCTCATTGACAAACAAGTTCCAATCCCGATCTCTGGCAAAGTTTGTTCCGCTCGCGCGATTCGCGATGTGGCGCCGAATAAATTCCAAGGGCTGTTCGCGCATGTCCCCCTCGAATCTGACGAAGTTGGAGTAGTAGTGGAACAACACTTTCGATGTGTCGGTCGATGGCCCCAAAGATGGAAGGTACAAAATGATGGTCATCTTCATGTTTATGAGCATCTATGCCATCAGTTTGAAGCAAGATACGAGCAATTTCTTTGTGTCCTAGCTTCGTCGCATGAGAAAGGGCCGTCTCTCCATCCGCATCGTTTGCGTTAAGGTTGATGCCTTTCACTTCGGCCAAAAGCCTCACTCCTGCTTTGGAGCCAGACATTGACGCTCGAATTAAGGCCGTTTCCCCTTTAAGATTGCGGGAATTAACATCAATTTCGTCCACCTGAAGGAGTAGTCGCAAAGCTGCCTCCCGGCCCCTGGTTGCTGCGTGATATAGCGCAGTGCATTGACAATTACCGCGGAGATTGGCGTCAATCCCATCAAACTCAAGTAGCGCCTCCACCACTGCGTCGTTTCCGTGAAGGGAAGCATAAATCAAAGGGGTGTTCCCAATCATATCTTGGGAATTGACTTCAATGCTAGGGACTTGAAGGAGGCGCCGGACGATCCTGTCGTGACCATAGGAGCTTGCACAGTGGAGTGCGGTTGTCCCACTCATGTCTCCAAGGTTGACGTTAGTGCCGGTAGTCTTGTCGTGACACGGCCGGTTGAGTAGTACGTTCACGACCTCGAATTCACCCCTGGAAGTTGCTAGAATCAATGCAGTGCTTTCCCCCTCTGTCCGGATATCGAACCCAGAGCGTTGTGCCCGACAAAGTCTTCCACCATCCTGTATCAAGATATGCATTAACTCAGGAAACCCGTATAGAGCTGCGATGTGGATAGGATGGGTTGAGAAATCAATCCATGAATAATGGGGGAGGACCAGAGGGTAGCGCCAACACTTTTTGATGAATTCAAATACGATTGGCGGAAGGATGCTGCAATCCTTTGAATGGGACGCCCAATAGAGATAGGCGTAATCCAGCAGCGGCTGAAGCAAGCGTGATTTTTCGAAATCCCAGACGTCTGCATGGCTCGTCGGATAGTCGTTGTAGCTGTGGTCCATGAGGAGCTGAATGCATGCAGATGTGATTACGGAGTGCGGATATGGGTGGCCGATAGGAAACATCTCTTTTAGAACGTCGCATGCTGTGTAGTCTACCGAGATGTCAGCTTGAAATCAATTGCGTATGAGCTGTGGAACTCACGTATAATCCGTACCGTATCGCTTTCTCTATCGATTGCGACCAGCCCGCCGCACACGGAGGCCAGGCGACGCACGCAGACCATACGGTTGACGTGAAACTTGCCCGTTCTCGGACAAATGGCCACGGCGACCTGAAGCTCCTTGATTGTCAGGGATCTTTTGGCATAGAGAAGCCAAAGGAAAATCCTTTGAGCAAGAGCAAAACCATGCTTTGGCTGCTTTGTGATCCTGTTTATTGTCACACCATACATTTCCCTCACACCAGCAGGCATTTCCTCCAACGCTTCTTCAAGCTCAGCAATGCAAAGGCATTCCTGTAGCATCTGGAGCTGGAATGAGGCCAAAAGGAACCTATCAAATCACCGAATTCTCAGTTCGAAAGCATGAGTCTATGGGCCCTTTAACTACTTACATGCCGCGCGACTTCTCCTGTATTGTTGAAATAATTCTTTGCTCCACAAGAGTTCGGATATCTTCGTCTTGTGCCGAGATCTCGACCTTGAGTGCTGTTTGAAGGATGTCGGCAGGTAGTGTCGATGGTCGAGATGTCACAAGGGCATTAAACCCCAGGGACGCAAGGAGTTGAAGGATCTCGAGCTGGGTGTCCTTTGGCGCTTCGTCGAAAGCATCCAATACAACGAAGCGCCGCACAAACACCAGCGAACCTTTCGCAACAGGATGATGAGCTCCTCCTTGGAAGGATATGTTCCTTGCCGAGTGTGGTCCTCATACACTGCGCTAATCAGCGCAAAGACTGAGTGGTGGTTTTCCAATAGTTGCCGAGCAACGATCGCAAGCGCTTCCTTGACTGTGATGGAATCTGTGTGCCGAAAAAAGATGAATACGACACAGGAATCGGATGGCACCAGCTTCTGCAGGTGCTCTATAGCGCTGGCTCTGAGTTCAAAGTTATCTCGCTGAGGGACCGACTTCAGGTTTAACAGCCTTACGATATTATGGTTTTTCCTGCTCCCGCTGTGCGTTCAAGTCAGACGTATGCAAGGAATCTGGAAAATTAGGTTGACTTACGAAGTCCAATGCCACACAGTACCCCACCACCTGTCTGTATCCAAGTCTTGAACTGTCCACCGGAGAGAAACCATATGCACGTGTCGGGCGCTCTCTTGGCTAAAGTTTCCTTCAAGATGGCACGTTGGTTGATCGGTGTTAGCCAAAGGCTGATCTTGGGCACTTGATCTGCGCAGACTTCGAGGTTAGTAAGGTGTGGGCCGCTGTAAGCGAAGGCAGCCTGCCAGACCATAATTTGCTGTAGTCTGAGCCAGCGAGACGTTAACTACATCCCGTCCCGCAGAGTAAAAGTGTCCGCCGGAGATATATACTGATTGTGGACTTTGAAAGATACTAGTGTCGCTTCGAAGGGACATTGGTGCGTCAGAGTCGCTGGACATATCCGCGGTGGGAAGTGGAAGATTGGGGCGAGGTTCAAAGGGCGACTGAGTCATTAGTCCAGCCACAGTGCTGTTAAGTGCTTTTGACGCGTGAGAAGGTAGATACTAGATAGGGATAGGACAAAAAGAACATACCTTGACCTTGACGTTTGAGCAAGCGGGGCCACTGAAACGGGGCCTTTTTCGGTAAGTGGAGAATATTAATATTACGGGTAAGATGAGGCCAGGGTGCGACCTTGAATTCCGAGTCGTTCGAGCTGGCGCCTAAATCAGTACTCTGGTAATGCGATCATTGTTCTGCCGCGATACCCGACAAGTTCATCTTCAGATGTTTTACCCACCCCATTTATAAACCGCATAGAAGCCCAACTTCGAAACGTCCATAGAAGGCATCCATCCGCCCTATCACCACAAGGGCATACAACCCCGGGCGCCCGAATTATCAAAGAAACTGAAATGTTCAAAAGTCACATCCTAGTAAGGATGGTGCTCTATATCACCCCAATCATGCTAGGAGGCTTAGTCTTCAAGTGGCTTCAAACTTCATCAGAACCAGCTCAACCAAGTCCCTTTGCCTATGTCTTCTACGCCACGTCCGCCAGCCATGCATGTGCCGCCCTCCTCCTAATCCACACCCTCTCCTTAACGTCTCCAAACATCCCTACCATCCTCCTAGCGCCTCCTCGCCCCCAACTCAACCCCAAACACCTAGCACCCTTCGCACGTTACAACACCACCATTCTCCGTTTCCCTCCTCCAGTCCTGGCAAGCGGAGCAAACCCCTACTACAAGCAAGTCCTCCTCAAGCTAATGGCCTTCAAACTCAACTCCCACTTCCCCCACCTCAAACGCGTGATCGTAATGGACGCAGACCAAACCCTGCTCAAACCACGCGCACTCCACGACTTGTTCAGGCTAGAACTTTCACCTGGCGTTGACATCGCCGCTCCGACAGCATACTGGTTTGGATCCGATTCAGACACAAGCCACAATGTCCCGGGATACATAACCACAGCTCTAATGCTCATCCAGCTCTCCGACGAACTATGGGAAGAAGTCGACGCCGGAATGAACGCCATCCAATCAGGAGAATACGACATGGACCTCATAAACCGACTCTTCTACACTACCAAACGGATCCACGTTCTCCCAGGCAGTTACTGTACGTTGAACAGCCATTGGGACGGCAAAGATAAATCTGGCCCTCCCTCATGGATGAAAAACCCCAGTGCGGGGCTGGAAGGACTATGGAACACAGAAGCTGTCCTAATCCACTACTCTTCCGTTGGCAAGCCATGGGACGTCACTGAAAGGCAGCTCGCACACAGTCACAAAGACGCTGATCCCCAGCTACCGAAGATGTTCAAACAGTGGGTCGGGGAGGCGAAAGGTCTGTGTGCGCCAGGGTGGAGTAGGTGGCATTGAAAGCGAAAGGTAATCAATTTTATATGTATCGTCCAAGATCAAAAATGAAACGTAGATAGAGGGTAAATTACAAGGCGGCCACTGTCCCAAGAAACCCCTGCATGTGGGTCCTTTCCCAGAGCGTCTCACCTGGATCTCAATACGACATTGAAACAGCCGCATTGAAGTTGTACACCCCAGGCCGACTCTCAAATCTGAACCCTATGGGGTTACACGTCGTCACAACATTTCCCCCTCTCACAATGGTCGCCTTCATCCCAGCATCAACACTCAAGTCCCTTGAAAGCTTGGTCATCCCCTGCCCCACCTCGAATACCTCCTTGCTATTCTCACTCGTATAGAGCTCAACCTTTGAGGGGGCAGTGGTGAAGACGATAACCCACATCTTGTCGTCCGTCAGCTCCCAGTTGTTAGGCCGCGGAACCCGGTCAGGAGCCACCGCGTTCTTGGAGTGCGGCCTCGCCCACATGAAGATTTGATCTTTCTTGACAGGTGGGTAGATCCCCTTCTTGAATGCAGCGGTGAAGTAGGAGTTTAGGACGAGCCACGCCTCATGAGGATATCCATCGACCCAGGCCTGGGAGTTTGGCTGTGCCCCCTAAAGTAACACCTGTCAGTCCACGTTCGAAATGGAATGTGGTTTCACAGAAAAGACGGACCTTTATTGGCCCGATGTAATGGGATTCTCCATAATCTAAATATCAGTGAGCAAAAAAACAACAACAGAAAGATGGGTATGTATGTGCCCA